TACTATAATATATATATATATATATCAAAAAAGAATATCAAAATTACCCAAGTGCTATAAGATCTTGGTCATGTTATACATAAGCCAAAGTTTAATGCTTGGAATATCCCAATGACCTGTGTAAGCATCGACCAAAACCTTGCTGGGTACAATTTATAATAAAAATTAAAAATTTTAATGATAATTTAGTATATATGATTTGATTTTTATTTATTTATTTTATTTATGTTAGATCATTAATTTTTTTAGAATAATTATAATTATATGAACTTTTTAATACAAGCACATAAATTTTAATAATGAATCAATTAAAATTTAAATATATATATATAAATAAAAATACAAAATTAAAAAAATAGATAATATAAACTGAAGTATCATAACAAATTCTATAAAATTTAAGTTACAATAAAATCAAATTAGATTAAAAAAAAATAAACTCATAGTCCACCTTTTTAGTACATTCAATTAGTATATGGATATTATATTAATATTTTTTAAGTAGTACTTTATATATTTATTAGTAGATAATATATAAAATAATTTTTAAATTAAAAAAAATAAAAGTATAATCTGACTCGAATTTATAATAATTTTTTAAAATAAAAATATCCGAAATCACTAAATTAGTTATTAGTTATTAACATTTTAATTATGTTTATTTTCTCAATTTATTGGGTATTTTAGATTGATCTATTTATTTACATAAATAATTTCTTTTTATCTATTAGCCTATGGTGATTAATATGTTTTTAAATGCTTGTATTTATAGCTAGAACAATCATATATATATATATATATTATATTTATATATATATCCCATTGACCCTCTAACTTCTTATGATTGGAAGGATTTAGTAAAGAATCTCTAATTATATAATAATTATTGTAGAAATTTTGTCAATATGATAGTATATATATATATTTTTGTAGATCAAAAGCTTTTGACTTGAAAAATGAAGAATGTTTGAGAGAAGTAAATAAATAAAAATGAAGAATATTATTTCATTAACAAAAAATTAGTAGAAGAAAAAGATAGATGACGAACATGCATACTTTTATTTCCTCTAAAACTTTGAATTCAAATTGAGTGGAAAAATTAAATGAATATAAATATATATATATATATATATATATATATATATATATACATAATCACATACATACATGAACGCAGCATCATGGAAATTTATTTTACTTGCTCCTGACTTCTATCTATCTATATATATATATATATATGTATAAATATATGTATACATAAATACAGACAAAGAGAGGGACGAAGATGATGGGCTGTTTTGCTCCAACTATTATATTACAAAATCAAAATTTAAAATTACAAATTTAAGACCCTCCCACCACCAAATCAAAAAACTAAATTATTCTAATTAATTCAATTTAGTTTAATACCAGATTTTTAAAACATAAAATGATTAATCAAACTCTTGGTTTGTCGCTAATTATTCAATCATCCTCCTCTTTCTCATCTTCCTCTCCCTGCCGTTTCCAAAATCTGAAAGTCAAACCCATCCCACCAACTACTACTCCGTCTCCAAGCCTGCTACTCTTTTAATTATCAGTGCAAAAATTCATTGAAGAACCCTGTTTTGGAGCTTAAAAATGGTGGAGAGTTTGAGTTTACGCGCTGGTTGATTGGCAACTGTGGGTTGATAGGGAAGACGGGAGTCATTACAAGAGGAATTATTGTGAGTTAAAATAAACTGGTTTTGGTCTGAGAATCTGCATGGTTTTCTCCGATGGGGCGGCTTCCATTTAAAATGAAATGATGAGGGGGGGATTGGTTTCTTTGATTCTGAGACCTGTCAAGTGTTTGATTCTTTGCTTCACAGTACTAATTGGATCAGCTAGTGCACAAGGTTAGTCTGTTTAGTATTTGTGTATCTTATTATATACGTATATTGATTGCATAATTGACAAAATGATCATGGTCAGTCAATAAAACCAACTTGATACATGCTAAAAAGGGTTTAACGTAGATTGATGTACATATAGTCGTATATGCTGTTATATATACATATGTAACCAGTCTTGATTGAACTCTATATATAGATTATGAAACTAAACAGCAAAATCTAGGGCCAACCATCTCGGTAGATGCAGAATTGTCTGCTTTCTGATGGATTAGCTACTGAAATTGAATAATATAGTAGTCATATACATACGTGTTTATATATAAGTATCTAGTCAACATAACATTCAAATGAGGAAAAAGTGAATAAGGGAAGTCATAGCTTGTCCAAGATTGTTAATAAGCTTGATGTTAATTATAGGACGTCTCTACTGGAACAGTTTAGTCTTTGACAACCTGCCTTGACACTTACAATATGAGTATTACGTATGTATTAGTCAGATCTGTCAGGTAATCCGTGTTTGATATACTCAAATCTTCTATACACTCAATTTAGATCATAATAAAGTTTTAGTTTTTGACATTTAATAAGGATTTCTTTCCATCAATCAGTCGTGTATTTTTACTCTCGTAACTGATATTGTTGTTATTTTATAATATTTAGTAACTGATATTGTTGTTATTTTATAATATTTAGTTTATCGAAACTATGATTTCAAGAAAATTAAAAAACACACTGCAATTTCTAGAATTCTTATCTAGTGAATTTAGATTCATCCTTCCCTTGAATGGATCAAGTTGATCAAACCACTAATTCTTAGTGCTTTTGCTTTTCTACTTTCTTACTACATGTATCTGAGTTTTTTTTTTT